AATGGTTCATCACAGAAGTAAAATGCCTAAATGAGCCTCACAGAGTTTTGCCCAAAAGATAAAGTAATACTGGAATTGAGCTTTTAAAGATACTGAGAATATTGTTCCTTTCATGCAATAATTTAAATTAGCAAGTGATAATTAACAGGGAATCGCATATACTAAATAAAAGGCAGATGGTGTGAACTGTCCTCCTAAATATTTTTGAGTTGGAGTAAATTATCATTTTAAAAATTTATTTTAAAGAAATTAGTTTGAATTTAATAGTTGAAAGCCGATAAACTTGGATTAATATCTCTAAAATGAAATTTTGAGGTAGGTATTTTTTTCAACCATTTTTTTAATGAATGTTAGTTTATTTCAATGCAAAAATATCGCGAGAGAATTTGCACTATTGTTCTAAGGTGTTATTAGATGTTCTCATTTTCTTCCACATTGTTAAAAGTAATTTGATAAGGGTAAGCAATATGTATTCTTAATCCTTTATACTCTATTACTAATTTACCTTATAAATTTACTATAACTATAAAATATCTATTCCATCCAACCAAACTCACCCTTAATAATCAAGAACTTCACATGTAAAAGCATGTAAGCAAATCCTACCTCAAATTTTATAATATTAAGTAATTTCGAATGATCTTCATTCATTTGGTTGAATGAATATCACCTCCTATAAGTTGCAGTTTCAAACTTTAAAGATCTCATTTCTTATTCCCTCCAATTGCCCAGCTCTTTTTATTTTGGGTAATAAACTTTTAAATATTTTGACCTAAAATATAAGCTTGATTGTGTATGAGAAGAAAAACTTACCATTATTTTAGCTTCCTTTGTCTCCCAAAGACTTAAACCACCACTTCCATCAGTGCTGCTGAAGGCTTGGGCGCCTCTAGGCAACAAGCCTCTACCTAAAGTCCGGACGATGCCCTGACCGCCTTGATGATTTGTGCGCCACCTTTTTTTCTTTAAAACAAATCCAAAAAATCCAAAAATTATGGGGAAAATTAGAGAAAAAATAATTTAAAAGTTTAAAATCAATTAATCAACAAAATTTAATAGAAGTCTAAAATCAACATAACTAAAACCTTCAATGATTGATTTAGGGTTTTTTCTTTATGTTGACCTTTGAGAACCAACCAACCCTATTCGTTTTTTATTTGTTAAAAAAATTGAAAAATAAAATAGTGTGGTTTAAGTTTTCTTAAAAAAAAAAAAACCCAAAAAGAAGGGGTAGGGCAGCATTGCCTGCTGCCCATGCCAAGGTAGGCGGCATAGGATTGATAGCTTAGCACGGAAGTGCCACCCAGGCGAGCATGGGCAGAGCTTTTTGCAACACTGACTTCCATTTATTCTCCCTTGGGCCATGGTATTGCTTCCCACCTTGCCTTTATTTCACTTCACTTGTTATAAATTCAATCATTT